TGGAACAGAGGAAGACCCCAAGACGTATGCACCGAGTTTTGAACCCGGAATTTCTCAGTGGATGGAGTTGGCACAAACTGGATACCAACAGTTTTTCTTCATCCGTGCTTGGGAGAATGGACGCCGCTGGGCTGAAATTCTGACAGACCATGGTATTCAATCTATAGAACTTTCAAGTTTCTTGGATATGTGCAGAGATCCCAAATTGCTGGGTTGGAACTTTGGTATTCCAGAACCTCAGTGGGATAATTTTGGCAACACAGTGGAGGAAGCATTCAACAATCCCTTATTTGCCAAATTGCACTATCGCTTCAAGCAGGAGGAAGAGATTGGTCGTGTCATGCACCTTGTGTCTGAACTTGTTTGTGACTTTTTCATCAAGGTGCTTCCCAAGTGGGTTCTTGACCACTCGATCTTGTGGGAAGAGTTTATGATTTTGGATCCAGACACAAATCTCCCAGCCTACAAGACCTCAGAGGCCGCCTTACAAGCAGAAGTGAATCCAGAGAAGCATCATACACATTTTGCTATGAACTTCAAGAAATTCAGGTTTTCTGCAAGAGTGGTGTGGTATTTGATTGACCGTGACAGGAATCATTTAGAGAGTTTTCTTCACAACTCCAACAGCAGATTTGTGCAACATGCATGCTATCAACTTCGTGAATATGTTCAAGCGCGTGTTGCAGTTTCTGATCCCTTGTATGAGATGATCAAGAAGGAAGAGTTTGAACGCCAATACAATTCCAAGTTTTTGGAGGCGATTTCTTGCTCTCGTGTTGTAGTTGAGCCTGTAAGTTCAGGGACGTATGAGCCATCATCGAAGCTGAACTTAAAGGTACTACAAAACATTCTGAAGGGTGTCTACAAGATCCAGAAGAATGAGGAGCTTGCCAGAGAACGTGAGGAAGAAGAAGAACAGGCAGCTCAAAACATCTCAAACTTGTTAGCCGATGATATGGAGCTTGATTTTGATGATGACGACGTACCAGTATGGCGCTCCATTGTCAACAAGTATAGAGAAGGTGATCAGGTGCTACAAAGAGAAGCAGTGAAGATTACTCATCTTTTCAAGGACAAAAAGGACGATGAGAAGGCAACAGAAGTTTTCAGTTCAGAGAGGACAGATTTTCATGAGACCTCAGAACCTCTTCCAAGGACCATGGGAGAAAATCTTGTAGAGGACTTGCGCACCAAGAATGTCGCAGAACAAGCTTTTGAGGCAGGTGAAGAAGTTCCTCCTTATACAAGAGTCTCCACTATCGCTGGTGAAATCTACACTGGTAGTCTTATGTTGACGAAAGATGAGGATATGGAAGAGGAAGTCCCTGAAGAAGATCCTGCAGTTGAACCTGAGAAAGATGAAGAAATGTTTGATGAGAGTGCAGGTACTTTTCTTTCAGAGGGACCAAAGATGGAAGTTGACCAGGAGGAAGCTAAGGAGGAGTCAACACCATACTTTCTGTCAAGAGAGATAGGTGAGGACTCAGCTGCATCGTACTTACCATCAGGTGAGAAGGATGCTAACCTTGAGGATACTTCAGGTCAGCGGAAATCTAAGAAAAGCCGCCTGAATAAGATTCCTGATCCTCATTTTCATGAAGAAGTTCAGGATGATGCAACTCTTGAGGAGAAGAAGAAGGCGGTGAAGAAGATAAGAGAGGTCAGAGAGGATGATGGAGAGAAGAAATTGGAGGCTGAAATCCAAGAGTCTTTTCCATCTGAAGTAGTTGTTGATAAAGATCCTGTGGATGCTAACAATACCTATGAGTTGCATACCTCACCTTTGAGGTTGCTTGGAGAGCTTACAGGAGATCCAGGTATTGGCTTTTATCAACTATGCTTCAGGGAAACTCACGCAAGATTGCTGAACCATGTTTGTTTCAGAAAAGGTGAGATTTCCCATCCTCATTATCAGTCGAGGATCAACAAGGATGATTTTGTTCGATCCATTCGAAAGGTCTGTCCAGTACCTCCACCTGATTGTTATGAACACGACTCAGAGCATGATTTGAAGAGGTTTTTCATTAATGATGACCGCATCAGTTACTTGGATGGCAAGTATCAGGTCGATCCAAAAGCCTTTGAAAGGGCAGAGCATGCTCGAGAAGAATTGGAGGATACGAAGAAGGAACTTAAGAAGGAACTGGAATCATATGGTCCCAATGGACCCAGTTGGGACTTTGTCACCTTCTATGAAGAGCTGTGCAGAAGGTTCCTCAAGGGAAGAATAGAAGAACAATATGGAACCAACTTATTGGCCAGCTCAGAGTCCTTGACGTTTTTATCCTGGAACTATGGCAACATGGTTCGTGGTCAGAAGTACACCACACCAAGGTTTCTCCAAGGACTTGATAGTGCAATGAGGCCACGCAAACAGAGCGCCATGTCACTTCAATACGAGCAATTTGAGAACAACCTTTTCTTCAATATGCTCTTCTTTTTACGTGCACATGTCGTGATTCTCCAGGAAGCTCATCTCCTTGTTCCTGCCAAGGAATTCATTGAGCAAAAGAATTGGACAGTTTGTTTCAATGATTGGGAGAATCTTGCAGTGATGGCTAGATTGGCACCAGGTGGATATGTCAAGATCATTGCTGGACATGACCAAGACCTTGGTCATTGTGAACAGCGTGATGTAACTTGGGCTATCTACGAGATTTGTTTTGGAAAAACAAGGCCTCGTCAACAATTCAAGGATGCAGACTTTGAATTTGATGACTATGGTCCTGAGGACCAGCGTGTTCCACTTACTCGAGCGAACATGCATACCATCAGAGTCTGTAATTATCATGTTGATACACACCGTGCTGTGGATGCCCACCTACTGACAGGAGAACAGACAGCACTGATGCTTTATGAGTGTTTTGTCTATGAGGTGGACATCATTTCTGGTGATGCAAATAGTTTAGCCTACAGAATGTCTGGGTACAAAAGGCAGCCAATGGCTAACTATGATTACAGCACCATGCAGCATTGGATCCGCAGGTTTTCAGAAGCCCGTGTAAAAGCAGATCCTGGTATCAAAGCACCTATTCCCAGAACATTTTACAGTTCATCTTCACTTGTCCTAAAGCAGTGTGAAGATTACTTTGATAAACTCTGGGAAGATTACTCCACAGTAGAGAAGGAAGAATACCAGGGATCAAAGCTTGGAGATACATGTTTGTCTACCATTGTTGAATGGGGTCATTCGATGAGTGAAGAGGAATATGAAAATTCCACAGTGAGCACGAAGGAGTTCATCTGTAATTTTTTCAGAGAACTTTGCTATGATTGACACGGAGGTTATGTGCTCAAGGCCCACTGACGAGGACAGTCATGGTCCAATGTTTATTTCACTCAGACCAGCTTCCTATTCATCTGGAGACAGAAGACAGTATCGCATTGGAGCAACTCTTCATGAGGCGAAACTGCGGAGGAAGGAGAGACAGAAAGAGAATAAAAGGAAAGGTAGGCCGCCGACTTCGGATCAAGCAGCTTCATCGACTGCAGCGGCATGAAACTCAGAGCGGAAGCTAACTTTTAATGATGGCTAGGAAGTGAAGATACTTCTGATCACAGTTGATACTTTGCTTCCAGGCCTGACTTTAAGTTGCCAGGCTGAAGTTTTAATGAACTCTGGTTTGCAACAAGGAGAAACTTTTTGTCAAGGAAGATACTCCTGCATTCCAGGTTTATACGCTTTAGCATGCAGATAGGTATGGACAGTTTTGCATAACTGATGATATCTATCACAGCCGCTTTTTTCTGAGGTGACCTCTAATGGACAACCATTCATGGCTGAGGATTAAGTCATTTCATAAGTTTGCATTTGTAGTGCAAGTTTTGTACATACATTTGCCGGTGTCTCCTTCCTTGTGTTTTTGATGTAAATGAGAAAGAGTCCTTTTGATGCAGTTCCATTTTTATTTAAGTTCTGTGTATGGAAGCGGCCGAGACCACTTTTAGAGAAGAACATTCCTCGGACCGAGAGTTGACGCTCCTTGCATTTTGCAAGGCATCCTAATTCATTGCAATTTGTGCGGTCTTGAATTTTTAGTTCTTCGTTACGCGAGTGTCGTTTAATGCTTTTACAGGTCTCTGTGTAAGAAAGCCGCTTTCCCTTGAATTTAAGTTTCTTTGAAGCTCTAGCTATTTAAGGGCTATTGAGCGCCGGTACACGGTATCTTCGCCGGTGAACAATACAGTCTCCAGCCGAGGTACATTGTCTCTGACTTTGTATTTGAGGTGAGTCAGCTATTGCTCCCTCACTGTATTTAGTAAACCTAGAGATTACCTTTTCTAAAGTGTGAAACACACTGGAATTGGTAAGTACAGGGCACCGTGGTTTCCTTTTAAGCTTAATAGAGCTTGCTGGACTGTTTTAGCCTTGCGGTAGAAAATAGTATGCGACGTACGCAATAGGCAGGAGTGGACATGAAATTTGTGCCTGCTGAAAGGTAGAGCCTACTTGTACAGGTTCCACTCCAGTGGCCTATCTAGTGTGTCCATGCTTGACTGCCATAAGGCTCAAGGGATATAGGATAAGACTCTGCGTGAGCAAAAGACACTAGCGGTCTGCACCTCTACCGTGTACGCCCTAGTCACTCTTTCAGCCCCCTCCCCCCCGGATCAAATCCCCCCTGCGCCGGTTCACGCCGTCATGGACTTTTACCAGAGTTGCTTGTGATTGCCTGCTACCTTTCGTTCACCCCCTCCTCTCTCAAGTTTGCCAAGGGCCTCCACCTAGCGCAAACACCAGCAAACCAACACCGCCAATTTCGGGCGGTTTTTTGGATACCCCCCTGGACCATGTAATTTCTATCCCAAACCCACCCGCTGCTGGAAATAGACGTTAGAAACAAGAAGCTACTAGTAACAAGTGCATCGCTTCTAGTAACAAGTGCCTTACTAGTAGGAACAAGAAGCTACTAGAAACAAGAAGCTACTAGTTCTTTTTCTTTGGAGGCCTCATTTCTGGCGCCTGTGACCGTGTGACCTCTCGACGTCGTAGACGACAGGTCAAGCGGGCGCACAAAGTCCTGAGAAGTGTCGCCACGCACTCAGGATCTACCAGCCTGCAGACCTAACATGGACCCTGAGAACAGGGGGGGTGAATTCATGTGAGAGCAGAGGTTGGGCTTTCAGCACATTGACTCCTCCCCAACGAGGTCGACACACCCAACCCAAGAATAGACTGTTCCAGGAGTTCGCTTGGCAATCACGCCATGGATGTTGTGGACATTGGTTACGTTGTGCTGTAGAGTGCCGAAGGGGCGGACCATGCCGAAGGCGTCGGGTGTGTGTGAATGCGGATGAACATGATCAGTTTCCTTTTGGGTCCAAGGGTCCAAGAGTCCTGCACACTCCCTGCAAATCATGGAAGTGTAAAAACCACCTGTTCAGTATCCACTTCCATGATTACCTTCAGGGAGTGTATCCCTATCAGATCATGTGGCGTATGTCCTACTCTTCCAGGAGGTGTGGGTGTGTGCGCTTGCTTGTACATGAGAATGCCTTGAACCACGAACAAACAACCCTTGAGGCTCGAACAATGATGAACATTGGCACACGGCTGGAACGCTCCGGGCTAGGAGGGGACAAAAAAACCTACACTCCTAAACGACTAGTGACTCGGAGGAACTGGTCTTCCGGGATTTCATCTCTTGGTATTTGCGTGGAATTCTAATGTTTTTTGTATCCATTCCACGCTACACTGCCAGTACAGCCCGTGGTTGTTTCAGGCCATCTCCAACTCCACCCGCATGGTGGAGAGACATGCACTCAAGGAGGCCGTGCAGAAGGGGAATCTGAAAGTGTAGCAGCGTAGCAAGGCAGCACGGGATTCTTTCATGTGTTTGTTATTTGGGGCTGCATGCTCATTCAGATGGGCACTTTGAGGGACTCATGATCGTCAGGTGTTGGTTTTCCCAGTTGTTTTGCCGTTTCGGTCGCCAGAGGGGGGGCATCTTAGCTGCCCAGATGCTCGCATGAGAAGGACTTTCCTTCCCGAAGCCGCAGCTCAACTTTCTGGGACTGACCAAGAGGGCTGGTCTGCAAATGATAGGACAGGACCCACTCGAATCATCCTCAGTATGCTTCTCGGCAATGTTGCAGCATGCCTAGAATCCGCCCCTGTTGAGGATCCCAGACCCTTCCTCAGGTTGAATCCCAATTCTTCATTGATCCTCTCCAAGCCTACACACCGGTGTCTACCCAGACATCATAACGGTGTCTTCCGCCGCCGCATCGACCGCCCGACCGCCAGGTGATTGAAGACACCAACCGCCGATTCTGGGGCTGTCGGGAAGCCCGCTTGGGGACCGGCGCGCGGCCGCCGGCGCGGCGTGAGACGGAGGGACAGGGAGGGGAGACCAGCAAGAGCATGCAAGAGCGTCGTCGTGGGAAGGGATTATGGGATGAAAGGAAGGAGATGAGTCTTGGAATGTCTTGGAATGTCTTGGAACCACCCAATCAACAGCCCAAAAGGATGTCTGAATCTATAGCTTTAAAGCTAGATGGTACAAGGAAAAGAAGCTGGGGGGGTCCGGCATAGCTTACGATCGTGCCATAAGAGATAATCATCATTCTCGCGCGATGTTCCAAACAGGGCGCAGAACTTGGAGTGTGTCTTGGGCCTATTCTTTTTTTGGAAGCTAACATACATTTTTGGGTCACAGAATGTCACAGATGTTCCTCTCCCCAGCTCAACCAAAAATATCCAAAACACCTGATAAAAAAGAATGAAAAAGACCTGAACCCAGGAAACCTGCTCTTGGTCTGACGGAGAGAGGGAGGGGTGGCGGGCGTCCAGGTGTGATGCTACCGATTACGTTGGCCTTCTTCGCCTTCTATTCCTTGTCCTCCATTTTGCACGAGGTGCAACAGCCGGAGGGGCAGAGGGCGAAGGTGTGGAGGCTGTTGTAATTGGATCCATAGCACAAACCGGAGTGCAAATTAGCGACGCATCCGGGATTGGTGCGTGTGATGGATGACGAACTCCGAAGGGGAAATCCTTTTTCGGGTCACCTAGTCAGACCATATCAGACCATTTTTTCCATTAGTCTTGAACATTCAGGGTGTATGCCTACATTAACTCAGGACATCAACCACCCCATGTATGCAAAAAACATCTGGCGGTCCCAGACCGGTTGTCTCTGGAAGGACGACCGGTCGGCCTTTCCTCCGATGTGGTGCTTCGGCCCTAGAGGTCCCAAGAGGCTGTAGTCTGTCGAGTAAAACTGCAACACTCATGAGGAAGGACAGTCCACTTCCTTTGAGAGAGGGTACCAGGTTAGACATCTCCAGATGAGGACTCTGTTGATCCATTTGGAAATGTCCATGTCTGCGCGAGTGGTGGAAGGTGGTTTACAATCCAAATGGGGGAGTGTGGGAGCGTGCGACCGCTCGCGAGTTCGTGCATCCAAATGGGGGAGTCTATTAATCAACAGTCTACTTTGGGAGGGATCCTCTTCATCTCGAGTTGGTGGCCAAAACAAGCTGGTCCTGAATGCCAAAGAACGTGGATAATGAAGCACAAAACATTGCCACAAAAGCCTACCAGTCTTACAGGAAGAGGGACACTTGAAGCCCATATCATCTCTGGTGTCACTGGTGTCCCAAGATAAATCCCACTCTGACCAGCACTCCCTCAGGGCGTGTTTCTTCCTGCGCGCCCACGGTGCCAGGACGTGCCCTCGAAGCACATCACCGAGTTTCCTGTGCGGAACGTGCTGAACCCCGTGCTGGCGGGGGTCCTTCGCTCCGGCTGGGCGGGCAGAGAGCGCCGAGAGAGGTCTCCCGCGGTGTCCAGCGGGTGTCCACACGGTTTCGGCGTTTTGAGCGGTGTAGACAGCGGGTGGGCCTCAGGGGGGAGAGATGGATGGAGATGGTATTGGAGACACACTCAGACGCAGCTGATCTCCAAGAAAACCTAAACATTCCCCCAAACGCACACACACACATACATATATAATTAGATAAATATAGATATTGGATGGGATGGCTTTTTGGGCCACACTGGTGATGTTTCTCGACCAAGCAGTCTGGGTATCAGTTTCCATTTGAGGGATGTGTTTTGCTTTTGATTGAATCATCTTGAAGCCTAATGGCCATGCTCGATCGTTATATGAGTTATATGTGTCAACTGATCCAAATGTCAACCAATTCGTTCATTTTCAATGTTAAGAACGCGGGCCAGACCGCGTGTTTTGTGCCGATGATTGTTTATGGTTTCTGTAAACCTTCTTGGAAGACATTAGTGGCACTGGCACGACGCTTGGTTTTCATACTAGGCATAGTTGGATGATGTTGGATGTATCACTAGTTGAGTGTACCATAGTGTACCACAGCGTACTGTACCATATTGACTTCCTCAAACAGCCACAGCGCTTTGTATCACTTTCTGTTGATTGGGGGATGATAGAACTACGCTTCTTTCTATCACCTCCCCTTTTTGGGACGCCCTGTGGGACACTGGGAAGCTGGGAATGCTTTTCCGTTGGGCAAGCACCAACAACTCGCTTGACCATCCATCGCTGGCCCAGGGTGAAGATGATGATCCCACTTCGGAGATGCCGCGCGGTGAAAAGCAGCCTGGTGCGACTCTGAAGGAATCAGGGAACAACATTTGGTATTTTTATCCCTCACTCTGGATACCTCAAGATCCGGCCCTCATTCCGAACATGAGTCGCAGCAGTCAGAAGGGGATGGGATCTGTGGGCAGGATGGGGCCGATGTGGGCGGGATGGGGGGTTGGATTTCCAGCATCCGAATCTGTAGCTGCCAGCCACGACCAGCTAGGCTTACAGCCTTTACAGGCTGTAATAGGGAGGTGTATGAGTCAGATGGCGCACCTGGCAAGATGTAGTGCCACTGAGCCGGCAAGCAAGATGTATTGCATCCTTATGGGCTTGAGATCTTTCCACTTTGGTGATTATTTCGACTTACTCCCCACACCAGAAACATCGATGAAGGCCGGCATGACACGCCCAAGATGTGGTTGACTGGGTGCCACCAATGGAAGGCGATTCGGTCGAGCATGAGGCTTTTAGCGAAACACCCGCGAGATCCTTTGATCATGAAGAACTAGTTGTTGGGGGTGTTTCTATTCTTTTGAGACCAGCCGGTTGAGCCTTTTTCCATTTACCATGCATATTATTGGTATCATTTCAAGGAGTTACTGTAAAGTCTGGATCCATCGGCATTTCGTAGGGTCAAAGCACCCTTCTCCAGTGCCACCCTCCGCAGGCTAGACGGATTGACCACTAGCACTGATGTGTGCTCTCCTCAGTATGCCCAGTGATTGACAGGTCTTTGGGGGCAGGTGTTTGGGCATGCCAGGCAGTCCAGAGTCGGGGAATTTGGGAGCCGTTGCTGGTTCAACCGAGCGCAATGATTGGGTCTCGTTACAAGACACTGTGCTTTCTCATGAGACGTTGCTGCGAAGGTCTAGCCTAGGCCAAGAATATGGACAATCCGATGGGTGCCTCAACCATCCTACCAGAAGAGGATCTTCAAAGCCCTGTTTGAGAAAGTTTGAGAAAAGGGGTGGATAAGTTTTGCTTCAACTCTCTGAGATGCATCGAGATACCTCCCAAAAAGATGTCAGGCGTCCAAGTTGGACGGCTTAGAGACCTTCTTCACAAGTGTCTGAAGCACGCACACATTTCCTTGACCTGAGGCAAATGTGATTGTTCATGACAATATGCAAACCCACTGGATGATGTGACTTCTGTTTCTTTCGTTTGCTACAGTAACTCTTGAAGCATTTCGACCTGCACAGTGGCACCAGGGAGTTCTTTTGGAGATCAACTACTCGGACTGTGGTGGTGACAACCTCAACAAGATCTTCTAATACAGTACGGTAGTTGTGGTGCTGTATCAAGTGTTCCCCGAGCTTCCAAAGCAGGAACCTCCTCAATAATCTCAAATTGGGACCAATGGAGCAACGCCTCCATCCCGTTGTGCGTTTATTGCCCTGAGGTGGAACTACCTCGAGCAGGTCTTTATCCCCTTCTTCCTGAGGGATCTCGATGTTTATGGGCGCCCTCTTCCCGAGGACGGACGACATGGGACGGATCGACCGATGGAATCAGCGAAGACGCTGGCGAGACTGAAGACGGCATCGCAGACCTCAGACCCGCCAGGGAGGGTCCTGACATGGATTTTAATGGATCTTATATTGCTTTTATGGTATGACCTCCCTGAAATTTATATAAGTAGGTTAGGTATCAATATAGATGAGGCTGTCAGGCCCAAACCACCCACAAAAGATATTCTTTGGCTGCTTTTCACCAGTGGGCAACTCCCAACAGATGTTTTGGTGCATGGATTGGCTTGATGGCAAAAACCTCAGAAAATCCAGCAGGTTCCCATTTTTGATGGATATCTACTTATGCACGTGCCACAGATCTTTGCATGGTTGCTCCCGTGCAGGATCTGTTGTTAGGGAGATGCTCCCCCACCTTTGGGCAGTCCAAACGTCGACACCCCAAACCAGATTAGATCGGGATTTGGAATTCGGGGATCCGCTTGAGGCGAACATCATAGAAGTTTGGAGGTATTTGGAGATGAGTCTTATTGAGTCCCATGTGACCCTACATCACTCTTGAAGGCTTAGCGCCTGATTCCTTCACTCCAGCATCCCTCTTCATTTCCGATCGAATCGACGAAATCCACCTCTCGCGGCCAGGAGAAGCGAGGGACTTTCCTCCAGTACAACCAGGCCGAAACCCGCGTCGAGACCTCCGGAGCGACGCGATGCTTGTCCCGTCCTTCTGTGCGGCAAGAGTCTGAGATCCAGGTTGCAAGAGCCAGGTGACCCCAGGCAGGTCTCCAAGGCTGCTGGTACCGGCTGTTAGAGGCTGTAGTTTGTTTGATGAGTCCAATTTTCCGACTGAACGTGTTTGAACACACCTAGGATTTTCAGGGCGCCCAGCAAAATCTTCGGCATCTACTTATACCGCTAGGAACTCATGGCATCTTTGGGCTGAAAGAGACAACATCTCCAATCCTTTTCCTTTCAGTCAAATTGGTGCTGCTCCGACTCTTGTGCCAAGCGAACCGGCCAAAAGGATCCACCAAGGTCAAGGAGTGGCCGGGTCTCCTGAAGACTGTTGGTGTCACCACCTGTAACACAACCAGCTGAGAGACTAGGTGAGGGGCCGACTCCCCATCTCCGAGTTGGGAGACTCACCACTGGGAGAGGCTTCGGAACCTCGGTGGACGGCCTCTTACGCCCTCGTCTCATTCCAGCGGCCAAGCCAGGTGCTGGGCGGGATCATCATGACCCTAGAAAGGGGCTACGTGCAGCCCTGTGAGGCCGCGTGAGAACAGAAGCGCAGCGTCGGAGTGGAAGAAACCGGGTTTGAAGATGGTGGTCAAAGTATATATACAGGGAATGGACGACGGGTCCGGTAATTCGTCCCATCTTCTCCATGCCCCCAAGTCTTCTCCACTTTCCTTCTCCAAGGACCCCGGGGAACCGACGGAGGACCCCAACACACGAACAGCGGTTTCGCCCGGTGCAGGGCCGATGGGGTGAGGTGGTGAAGAAGGGGCCGCTCCCAAGAAGTGTGTTTCCCAAGACTGGACATCGTCATCTCACTGAAGGGGCCCCTTCTTTGTGATGATGATGATGATGATGATGATGATCACGGAAAACCAGCTTGCCAAGAAGTGTCGGGGTGGTGACTGGAGATGACGGTCTCCATGACTCACTCCTTGGTTCTTAGACCGACGCAGGAAGTACTTGTATATCTGGATGTTCCTGCACCTCTTACTCTGTTTTGGGGGGGATCCGGGGGTTAGGGACATCCCACTAACCCACTAGTCACTAGTTCAATGAACAGGCGGAAAGTTCCTGTTCACCTTTCTTTCCAGTGGTGGGCAGAACGGGATGCCGCTCGCGAGAGGACCCGTTAGTGGCGCACCTCACGTGTTTCCCACAAGAGGCTTTGCTGCAAGGGTAAGCGGTGGGTGCACTTGGCGACTTCAGTTGGTGATTTTCCAAGCAGTGCTAAGGGGTACAGTAATATGGTTCCAAGCTCACTTGGTAAGTGAGACCTTGTTGTAATTGGAGGGATTTTGTTTCTTTCATGCGGATATGAACAATACTGGACAGATCCAGAGTTCATCCCAGTCTCCACTTAATTACCAAAAAGGCAGGAATTAGGGTTTCCAGACAGTCTACCTTTGAGCTTTTCTGGAGGGTCATGGAACAAAACCACCAAACATTCCCAAGGGAAGCTGTCACGAGTGTCGGGAGCAGCAGCCATGACACTCTTCGACATCATGGGCGTTCACCTTTTTTGTGAAACTCTGGATCAGGCGTTCACCATGAATCAGGCGGAACAGGTAACTGAAAAGCTCAGCAAAGAGATAATATGACTATACATATATATATATATGTATACATAAACATTATATAATATTATAATATACCCATATACCCTTTCAATCTTTTCACCACTACACAATGAACAAGCCTTTTTCATCGGACTCTTCTTTCAATTTCGTCCACCTTTCCGTGACCATTTCTTTCACCTTCCTTTTGTTGGACGCCAGAAACCACGCTTCGCACGCTGGGAGCCCTTAAGGACAAGATCAATTCTGATCAGTTCGGCCCGGCCCTCGGAGGGAGGCGGAGGGACCGACCCGGTCAGTGGACGGCTCAGCCCAACTCGGTTGGGTCCCGGCTCCGCCTGACGGTGCTGCTGGTTGACTTCCAAGAGGAGAGAAGGGTAACCAACCACTTGACATGAGAACAAGAAGGGCATATGGTAAATCATGACATGCTTGTAATTATATAGACCATAAACTGTATATAAAGCACACGCGTCTTGCCCAAAAAAACCTAATTACTTGGTTTGTCAGCTTCGATCCCTTCCCTGAAGGCACAGCCCTGATGGGTGTTTAGCCTTTCAGCCCGACTTAGGCGGCAACATCTCCCAGTTGTTTGAGCCGGGGAAGAACGCCTCCTACTGGTACGGCACGTGGGGGCGCCGAATCCCTTTTCGATTTGGTGGAGAGCAGGTTGGAGATGGCATAGCACCCATTTAAGGGTGGGGCGTATAATCTCTGAGTCCGTTTTTTTGTTGGTTGTGCCGGAAGGGGGCAGGGGGTGACCTCTGCGTTTGTGCAGAAAAACCTCAAGTTCTCAAGGCAATCGGATCGTGCTTCTGTCGTCTGCGTGGTCCAGAGAAGTTGGGTGAATGTTGATGAGGTGCCGCTGGAAAGAGGGCGACTTGAACATAAAGCAGGGATCCACCCTATTTTGCAGTGGAGCTTGTTTGGTTGTTTGGTTTTTTGTGGCGGGAAAGTGGCCTGCTGGGAGCCTTGACACTCAAGTTGAAAAGTTCAACGAAGCCTTCAGACCACCAAGGTGGAGCACCTGACGTAGATCACCAGGTAAGTTTGGGTGTCTGTGTTATCAACAAAGTTCACCCTGAGGTAGACCGCCAGGCCATGGTGAAGCCTTTAGAGATCCAGCTGCCTCCAGTCCCCTTTCGGATTTTGGTGCCCGAATTTCATGTGGCTCACACAATTCCTGGAACTCGCATGCAAGTGGAGTTCATTTATTCACCTTCTGTTTGTATTTGTATTCTGGATGAACTCGGGGTCTTCCATCTCATTCTCGGGGCCAATTTGCGGTTCTCCACGCTCCGCTGTGCGTCATACCGGGCCACTTTTCGGGTGTCGCGTGCGGACGTTCGAACGTGACGTGGAGCATTGACGTGGGAGGCGGAAACTGAAGTCCCATGGATTCCAGCTTTCAAAGCTAACTCAAAGGAGGTTTGTTCGTGCCAGTAAAGAATCTTAGTGACTTAGTACATCTTCTTTAATGCGGCTTGCATTCGCCTTTGCTGAACACTTTTAGAATCAGACGCTAGCCGTTGAAGAGTTGTGTGAATCTTCTCATTAGCAAACGCAACCTTGTTCATCCACTTCCACTGAAGAACAACCTGACTGGAAAAATTTTTGACCGAATTGCTGTTGAACCTTCATGGAACCTGGTCACTGAAAAACCCGAACAGGACATCACAGGAACACCACCACCTTCGACTCACTCAGGCCTGACTCGCTACTCGATTGCGCCAATGAAGGCGCTTCGCGACCCGTTTGGGCCAATCAGAGCCACAGCTGCTTCGGAAAGGATCTTCTGTGTGCGATACTCATTCAGATGATTCCGGGTGACCTTTCCTAAACCAACTCACTATAGTGTCACTAGTGTAGACTCGACTCAGACTGTTATATCTTAAAATCCTCCTTATGGATATGTTTTAAGTTTTGCAATCCCCATGTTTGTTTTGTTTATTAACAGCCTACCTTAATTAGCTTTGGCCGAGAAGTTCCTTCTACCGATATACAACGGGTGTGTCAAAAGTCCCCTGGCCATTGGCTTTTGTCCATCGATAGAAGCAGATCCGCCCCGGAACGTGGGATTGAAGTCACGCAGTGAAAAACAGCTCGTTGGTTGATATATCTTGATATCTTTCCTAAACTTTTGATTCATGATTTTGTTTGTTTGTTTGTTCTTTAATACCATCCCGATCCCGATGTTATGGTTGAAGACTCTTTGGGTAGAAGATTTGGACACAGTGCCTGTATGCTCAATCGAGAACCGCCGACCGCAAACCACTAATAGCCATGATCATCATGGTAGTGAAGAATCTCCCGCCCAAAGGGGTATGTTCTTGAGCATGTCCAAGCACTTGAATTCCCAAGGCACTCGCCATGCATCAGGAGATGCTTTCCCACCATGGCCGGCACGACCTCCCTTTGGCACATGAGCAGACGAAGGGACGATTTCCTTCTTCGCGCCTTTCCGCGGCCAGGCTTCCAGATCCCAGAGTTGCATGGTGCCTGTGGCAACATCTCCAACACCACCGACAGGTGGGAATGATACAGAACACACAGCGAGCTGCGACACGCTCGCGCGTGGATGCGGGAGGGGGTTTTGGCACATGGATTGGATGTGGGCACCGGATCGCAGATATGGGGATGGATGGCTGTGGTTCATGGGGATGAGGGGTGTGTTGGAAGGAAAAGCACGCATTGTACAGTTGTTGGGGGGAGTTCCAGGAACCTCTCTAACTTCAGGCCATTTCTGAAGTGTTGTGTTTTTTCCTGAGATAAAGAGCTATGGTCAAGTTGATTCTGGTTTGTTCACCTAAAACGCTTCATCGTGTTGTTGCTGTTGCTCTCCCACCAAAGGTGGGGGACTTAGGGACTTGTAAAGGGGTCAAAGGCTGCTAGTCTTCTCTCGTCTTGTGGATTGAGTTTGTGGATTCTAGTTTGAATTCATCCAAAGTCTTAGAAGGGACTTGGGAAGAGTTTTACCCAAAGCTTTCCACCCAAGTGTGAACAAACGACACCCAAATCATCCAAAGACACTTGGGAAGACTGAGCCAACGCTCTGGCTCGAGGCACTTGGGAAGACGGAGAATTCACCGGGACAGGTACAGTAGTCTTCCAAGTGACCTTTTTCCACTTCCATGTTGGTGAGTCAGAGTGTTCCAAGAGCACACCTATTCCATTTCTCATGGAATCTCATGGATTGAGCATGCAGATTAATACAGAATATATAATTAATTACATAAAAATAATTTGAACATACATCAACATCAAAACCCCCAAAAAGTTCAATCACCCAGAAAAGTGAGTGCTCATCGTCCTTCTGACGGTTTTAGGCGACGCTGTGGTCTTTTTTGGCCTTGCGTGAAGCGCCGGTCGATCGATCGCCTTCGTGTTCCGATCCGGAGTTCGGTGCCCGGAGGCCCAAGCGTTCCATCAACATTTGGACCTTGGATCGACGATTAGCACCCTTGGGGCAGGAACCAGCTCGCGCGCGCGCGCGCGCGAGCGAGCGAATGAACGAACGAACCGAGCGAAAGAACGCAAACCTTGCGGTGGGAGGCTGCAGATGCGGCTTGGAGCATTTGGGGAGGTTTTGACATGAAAGAGTGGGAGGAAGGAGGTTTGTAGATTTGCATCATGTTCTTGGCAAACCAGCTATTCGGCAGGCTAAAGAGCTTAATCCACAAATCCATACGAGCTCACCTCGTCAACGAAGACTTGCCATGAACATGCTCCGTTTTTTTGTTCAAGGCAATGCACCGCGTACTTTACATTTCAAGTGTACTTCCCTACAGTAAGTGAGTAGAGGCATTCAGGAGTAGATAGAAAAGGCCTTGTTGTATCAAACTGTACATTTGTATACGTCAAAGTCAAAGTCGGAAGCGCCTTTCCTCAGCAGTACACAGTCATGGAGCAAGCCTAGGGGCCACCTGGACCCTGCATCAGGCGTTTCCTGGAGACAAGTATCGTGCTCAGAACCCACCTGTCACGGTCTAAAAGCTACATCAGCTACATTTTGGAGGGTCCTGGTCCTGGTACATATAAATCTTCAGCAAGGCAACTTTCTATGAGGTCCAGTAGGTTCTTTCCCTTCTCAGCTGGTTTGTGATGGCAGCATCGAAGTCCCATCAGCTGAGTGTGGATGACTCGAGGAGCTGACTGGAGTGATGCCTGCCAAGCAAGATGCCGCCGGGGGCGCCTAGAAATGGACAAGGTTGCAGGTGTGTAGGTGGGTGGATGTGGGTGCGGAGTCAGTGACCCTTTTCCGAGTTGAAGCTCAAGCGGACGATGGATGGGGCTAACTCATCAATCCCCTCTTGCCTCTTGTCAGAAAAAAAACTCCACCCTTCCCGGTGGTGCAGTCGACATGGACATGTGGCAATGGCCACTGGATGACCTGCTAGGATGAACGAGAGGCTTTACATCTCCATATGGGAGGGGGTTATGAATCAAGTCTACATTAATATTATAACCGTTCTGATATCATGGACCCACAGGTGAAAAACTTTCCCACACAATTAGACACATTCCAAACCGCCTAGCCACTACGTACACCCCCGCCCCCCATTAACCAATGAGTCAGGAGTGGGGACACTGCATCATGCTGAGCCAAAAGCATGGATACGTCAGGACCGAGTGACTCTTGCAGCCAATTAACCAGTTAATATTTGGTCTCTCCTCATAAATCAACTCTGTGCTGTATCACTCAACACGGGCCCCGGAAATTCCATTGGAGTCCGGTGCCCCGGCTATGGCCAGAAGCGATGCTGTGACCAAAGGGAGTGAAAAGAACCAAGCTGCGCCGCACTTGCTTTGGACCAATTCAGCAGAGTTCTTTCGCAATTATAGATTAATTATCTTGGCGGCTAAAAGACAACAATTTTGCACAATTAGAATGCCCTATGTTTGAGCGCGACTGACAGCGACTGAATCTGTTTTGGGCCGAATCCAGTCAAAAGAAGAGTTGTTTTGCCAAGAAAGCCAGAAACAACTTTTGACGTGTATGCAGCCTTTTGAATTGAACAAATCACAGTTTTTTTTCAATCAGAGATCTTCCTTTGTCCATCATCTGCTGGACCCTGGTCAACAATCTTTCAACTGTCAAGTATCACCGGTATTTAGTAGATCATCCCAATTTGAGTAAACAGAGAGTTTTTGGTATCAAACCAGGTGTTTAGACTCAACAATCTTTCACTGGTGTTTAAACCAAGTATCACGTGTCAGAAGAGTTTTTGGCTTCTTCGTTGTCCTCGTTTCTGGGAGTTGACATGTCTCGGATGTGTCGCTTCCTCGTTCGTGCTCGCGCGCGTGAAGCTCGAAGCGGTGCTCGTGGCGTTTCGCCCAGTTCGCAAAGATCTTGGAGGGAGAGAAGGGCTTCAAGTTGGATGGCCCGGAAAACATCGCGAAGGACCTGTGAACCCTTGCCATGAGAAATTGAAGACTCGTTTCGGCAGACAGAGCCCTAGATAAACCAGCATTTGGAAAGACTGAGCCGAGGGTCTAGACTTGAAACAAAGCTGAGAAGCACACAGTGTGTTGTTTTTTTGTTCTGCATTCTGTTACTCAGCAAATCATTGTGGTGGCCAAGGGATTGCGATAGAGTCCAACCTGAATAAGACTTCAACCATTTGGGTCTTACAACATTCTTTTTGAGTCCTAGGATGGTGTTTCCTTCATGTAAAATCAGCGCAACCCGATTCCTGAGTGAACACGCCATTTGTGACATCCATGGGAACGCACGAGTGTGAGAAAACATCTAAGGATGGATTGAAGTCCCCTGACTGTGTTGACTATATATTGGCTGTTAACAATGGGAGGTGAACAATCAGCAGATTCAGATCCCTTCGAACTGGGGTGAGACAGTACATTGCATGTGGGTCAAAACATAAGAACCGATCGGGTCATTCTGACCTTGAAGAAAAGAATAACGACTCGGAGACGCCAGCGATTTGCGAAGCAGTCAGAAACACCTCGATGTCTGCCGGTTTCGGGACTGGGGACTGGGTACCCAGGACCTGCTTAACCATGCTTAACTGCTTAGTCTATAATGACCTATTTTGGAGCACCAACTGTCACCAACTGCGGCATTTCTTAGATGTTTTCCGGTTCAAACAGAGGTCAAATGTGGATCTACACCGCATTTGATGGCCCCAATCACTGTTTATCTTGATCCATCTCGACAGGATGTTGTCTTAAACTCTTTGTTTGCTCACAGTGGTCAAAACTGACCTGCTCAGGTTCACACTGCGAGCTCGAGATCCGTTGGATAAGAATGTGCCACGTGGCCGCCGAACGTGTTTGCTGGAGCGGACCTTCGGAAGAGCTACCAGGCCACCATGAAATCAACTTTTATGTTATTTATCTCTTCAAGAATCAAGAGACCAGTAAAGTCAGGTACGATCCAGGCTTGTTGCAGCGGGTCTTGAGAGATTCGCGGCGCTTTTGAGGGATTTTCATGGATTTTAGGAGAGATTCGCCGTTAGTTGGTTGAGAGATGTGCGGCCAAGGGTGAGAGATTTGGACTTCCAAGAAATCCGGACAATGGCACGACACCTGGACCTCATGGTTTGAGAAATCCGCATGGCGTGTCAACTGATGTCTCCTTCTCTCTCCACAGAATGGACATGTCCATCCAGGATTCCCACGAAGCTGAGAAGAACCTGAAGTCTCAAGCAACAAAGTTTGTAAAATTCGATGAAGAACTCAAGGGCAGCTCTCATGGTCCCATGGCTAGTTGTGTTTCTTTTTTTTCGGGATGTTTCCTGCTTGTGGTAGATCCTTGAAGGTCGCAATCTGGGGCAAAAAAGACATGGTTTCCAAAGTTTGCAAAACCTCAATGGTTGGGATGGTGAGGGTGTTTGTGAGCTTCACGAACTACACTTGTCTACACAAAAAATAGAAGAATCACCTGTAGACTTGAAGATCTGCAGGTGATGTCTTTTTTATTGTAAGTTCATTGTTTTGGGATTCCTTTGGTTCCTTCCAACTCTATGTCCTCTAATTCCCTCCTACCCACCCTCAACTGGCTCGCCAAAAGCCACCCGAGCCGCCGCTCTAAGGAAGCGCTTCCAGTACCTGAAGGCGGGCCTTTTCGGCCGGGGCGTCGTTTCGTTTGTGGTGCCGTGGCCCGTGGCACCTCCGCGGCGAAGAAAGCAGAACGACTTATATACTGTATAGATATAGATGGTGGTTGTTAACATATATACTGTATATAGAACCTTTTGTATAACATATATATCCCCGTCGGCCCGTCGACATTTCCTCTATGAAATGGGTGGGCGTACGCCCCGTATACGGGTGATTTTTTGTAGAGAACCTATGTGGGTACTAAATTAGACACCCTGCATTTTGTAAAAATCACTATGGTTAAGGAGCTGCTTGTTTTGCACAAGGTCTCCTTGGAATGTTAACGGGGATACATATACATATATATGTTATATATATAAGAGTGTATATATAGAACTTTATAGAACCCTCAAGGGGAAACTTGAGCAATGAATCGGTTGGACTTGAGCCAAGAATCATATAAATCCAACCACACGCCCGAAAGCTAACATGGACCCTGACAATGGCCCCCCCGAAAGATGGTTTTCCTCCGAGCAACCAGTGGTCTTGGGGTTCCATGTTATATAATCTGCAGGGGAGTATACTTCTTAGAAGACTCTTGCTTCAAATCCCAAGAGGCACCAAGTATGGCCACTAATGAAGCCACTGCCTGAACTTTTTTGGAGCCAGTTCCGCGTTTTCGGTGTTTTGGAGCACCCCAGATCCATCCAATTTGGCCTCCGCGAAGTGTGTCACATCCTCCGAGAAGTTGGTTTTCCTGTCAGATCAGGGCCCTGGGCCCTGGGCTTTCGGATTGCACCGGAGGACCGAGGATGGATCGATGAGCAGGCTCTGTCGTTGGAAGCCAAGGCGGGGCCCAGCTAGGTGAGGTTCGAGGACCAAGAAAGCAGGATAAGGTGGCTTTGATGCTTGGAACATGGTGTGTCTCTATGCTCTCTGTACCTTCTGGGGGGGGCTTCCATCATTGCTGGGTTTGGTTTCTGTTCGATACATGTTTTCTACTAAATGTCTTGTCAAGTGTGTTGTCAGTGTTGTCTATGAGGGGTTGACTGACATCAGATGACGGTGGCAGCTTTTTTTTGCGCACGTCCACTTGCATGGGATTGGTGTCGTTGAGGTGAGGAGAGGATGGTTTCCGTCCCCATTCCGAACCCTTCAGAAACCATGCACTTTTGTGCACATCTGAATCTGATACAGTGTATCTTGGGTGATCGTGCTGGAGCTGTGTGGGGGATTGATGATAGAACCTTCCCGATCCAGTTGGCAGGGGATCCTTTTGATTGTGTGCCTGTGGATTTCATCCTTGATACACTGCAATATCAAGATTGAGCTTTTGGTTGTCCTTTCAACCATTGCTTTGCACCGTCTCTTTTCGTTCCGCAGAGAAAGCTTGTGAACTCGGCACGAGAAAGGTGGTGGCCTACAACTATCAGCTGGCGCAGGGCTCAGTCTGTCCCATCTAATTGACTGTCGCACTTCCCTAAATCGTTATTCAGGCTGTGGAAGTGAAGGTATCAAAGTGCTTGGGAAAAGGATGAATCGACGACCATCGATGGTCCATGTGCAGCAAACGACGCAGCAAACTGTGCCCTGAAATTCCAAATGGTCTTTAGCTGACCGGAAAAAGGAGTTTCCCTTACTGCGGTGGGGCCAAAACTTGTTGAAGTGGACTTCTAGAGGGTATGCCCTGCAGCCCAAAACCCACTTTGGACCATAGACTTTTGCCTCTCGGGAGACCGAGATTAACAAACATCGCGCCAAGGATATCCCGCGCTTGCTGAAAGTGCAGTTCAACTTTTACTTCAGTCGGCAGCTGAGAGATTCGACTTCGAGTCATTTTCTTTTGGCATGGGGTGTTGTTCCTTTGTGGGGCACCGCTGATCCGCCCACAACGGACACATCGCATGTCTTCGCAGCTTCAAGTCTTCGAATACGAAATCGAATTGCACACGCCGCACGTTCGCTGCTTTGCAGAGAGCCGGAAGGCCTTTCTTTGGAACCATGACACTTGAATCATCTCTGATGGACCCCCGAAAAGGGTCAGACGTACGTGGTCCCCCCATCGAAAAGGTGTTGAGGATCGAACCTCCCTTCGATCCTCAACACCGATCTGCCAAACCCAGTCGTCGTACCCGCCGAGAGGTCCCAACGTCCAGCGATCTGCAACCCTGGCGATTTGCAGGTCGTGGTGGTGGCATCTACACCACACAGAAGATTGAGGCTCCTTTGATCTGCCCAAGAAGGGGGGGGGGTTTCGCCCGGTAGCCCCCAGTTCGGCCAGGAAGTGATGATTTGGATCCCCAATAGAGGACCCTAGTGGCCCGAGTGGATTGTGACCCGGTGAGGGTTGCAGTTGGCCACGGAGGCCATGATTGCTGTCCGGACGAAGGCCTTCGCCAGCCAGACCTCACGAAACCTGATAGACCTTCTTCATCCCACAGCCCCATGCCACTTTGAATCCGATGGATGCAGATGACAGCTCCATGGGAGGTGTAATGAACAACCTTTCATGAACTGTCCATCTAAATAATATAATTCTAATATCAACCAAGGAATATCTCTCTTCCAGGATTGAGCAGGGATGAAGGAACCTTTCCCACCCAACGCTTCCACGACCTCGGTCCCACAGTCCTCGGTCCCAGTCTTCAGACGGATCCATCGATCCGGCTGAGAGGTGGCGACCTTAAAGACTTGGCCCAGACACAACCGAGCATTGCTCCTCTTCGTGGATTGCGTCTTCTTCTTGATGTGTCTCTTGGCCAAGCCTGGGAGATGAAAATGCCTGGGATATGCCTGGGGACGTTACAGGCTCACACGTGTTTGAGCCAGAAGTCAAAGGTTTGGCATACCAGATGTGAAGGTTCCTCTCCTCTCACCCAAAAATCAGCAACATGGATGGACAAAGTGCTTCCTGATGCCTCGGAATAGCTAGGGACCTAGGTGACCTGCAGAAGTTCCATTCAAAACCATCGGCCGGCGGGGCAGGGTGCTGGCACGGCTTTCTGTTACTGTAGACGGTCAGAAGCCGGGGGAATGGGTGTTTCATTCCACACTAGCTGACTGGTGCTTACTTAGTAAGGAATGAGGGAAATGAGTGGTTATATAGTAGAGTCTCTACTATTCAGGGCTCATTCCCTCATTCCCTGCTTTCGTCGCACCAGTCAGCTAACATTTGCGTCCCTGACCGCTGAGGCTTAGCATCCTCGGCCTTCATGGCGTCTTGGCCGGATAAGACCTGGACCGGGGTGGCGTCACCCGGCGACGCTCGAGCGGTTGGGTTTCGTGCCCGGAGCGCATGGAACTCGGGGGTGATAGGTTTTGAATTCCTGTGCAAGCCTGCCACATCTACATGGCCAAGATGCACAGTTTGTAGATGTTATTATATACTGTACTTAATAGATGGTTGGGATCCAGAGAAGGATGATCGAAAGCTTTGATGTGCTACCCCTCAATGCAAAAAAAGCCAAGCGCCTTGGTGTTCCCTCTTCATCCCCACGTACTCAGTATTTAGCACACTTTACATTCCTGCTCTTCCACCTCTCAATGCCCCACCTTCTATCGGTTAGCTTTAGCCTGTGTCAGAGGGGGGTTATGGGAAAATACACACATTTGAACCTGACATAGGCTACTCGGCCAATTCTATGACCCAACGGTCTCGCTAGCTCCACCAAGGCCCGGGAGTTTCAGAAGGATCTGAAGGCGCCCAGCTCCGCGCCCGCTGGCCTTTCCTCTTTGGGATCTTCCGGGGTCGGTGTTTCGTGGGCTTTGGCGTCCAGTGAGGAGTCGTGCAGGCAGAATGAGGGACCATCTATATAGGGATATCTGGGATATCTGGGGTATGTTATTCCTATGATCCATGATATAAAAAACGGATCCAGTGATCCAGATACTAACTGATATGATCCATAGACTTATTCTCAACTGATTCCATGATTCCACCTCCGGCCGGGGTGGACGTTTCGGGTGTTTGGATCCAGGGGAGTGAAGCTTCCCTCAGTCCCTAGGAGTTGCACAATTCAAAAGGTCCTTTGAACTCACACCATTCGCTGGTTTTCTGGAAGACAGCTCTTGAGAAAAGAGCGATACTTCCCTACAAGACCCAGTAAGACCCCTGGTTGCTAGGAGAAGATCCGATTCCCAGCATCCAACAGGTCTTTTCTACAAAGGTATTTTTTGACCCCTAAGAGGTCGCAATTGGTGACCTCTTGGAGGGTGCTGGGTGCTGGACATTCCTTTCGCGGCTCGTGAAAGCAAGCAGCAAGCAGCTTCGCAGCTTCTGTTTGTTGCGGACCGCAACGGGTTCAGGGCACCCACCCGGACGGTTGGGTTTCTCTCATCCGAAGAAACCACGCCGAAGACTTGGGGAACAAACAAAACCGCAGATCGGCCGAAGACTGGGCACCCTCCACGTGTTTGTTCGGTTTTTCATGGGTTTTTCTGTTTTTGGTTTTCTTCGGTTTTCCAAGCGGCGGGGTGGGGGGGCCTGGTGAAGGGTAGTCACCCGGGTAGTCCCACGTCGTGTGGGTGCTTGACCGATCCGTGGTGTCCTGGCATTCCTGGCATTTGAAGAGACACACCCTGCATTACATTGCAAGAGGGAGGGGCTATGGGCTCGTCAGGTATTACTTGGAGGATTTTGGCATCCAAGATTCCACCTATAAAAAGGAGTATATAATCACACTCACACTTGACTTTCAGTCATGTTGACTGTTGATGAATGGACACCCCCAAGTCTGAAGAAGTGAATGACAAACCAGGTAGGAAAGTTATTTGTATTCATGAACGGTCAATGCGTCATCGTCCTGATAGTCCTCCTCCTTCTGATGTAAAACCTCTCTCTCAAAACCTTTCCCTTCACAAACCTTGGACCGTGTTCCAGACCATCCTGGCCCGCACCAAAAGAAAAAAGCACCGCATGTGTTCGCTTTTTGGAGAGGCAGGGAAATGCTTTGGACACTTCAACATCATCAACACCATTACCTGGCTGAGTTGTCTTTTTGGCACCTCGGCCTTTCCCTCGCCGCTCTATTCCGCCAGAGCGGGATCGCCGGGATCGCCACCGGGGGCTTTTTTGCAGTCGTGTTTTACCGACCCCGAATCGGGTGTGCAAGAGGGAATGCCCCTCAGGGTTTTGACCATGTCCTTTCGCTGGAGGGAACATGAGGGAACCAAAGGTCTGACTATTCCAGTGTACACCCATACCTTTCTTTTGGATTTGGAGAGCATGGAAGAGGAAGGCGTTGTGCGAGCGTCAAGTTTTTTGACCTCCAATGGCCGATGTGCAGTGTATGACCGGTTTTTCATTGTTTGTTCTTTTTCATGATCCCCAAAGAGGCGGAACGTTTGAAGCGTATCAATGGAGTTTTGGAGCCTCGTGGTGAAATCCTTCGTTGCCGTCTGGGTGCGTCAAGCAAGAACCCCCAACACACCCATGGTGACTGGGTTGGGACCATGAGGTGTTGGTGGCCCCCGAAGGAACTGGCAGGCTGGTGGAGTGGCTAGCCATGTTGACGCTGCAAATGAAGGAGTGCAGAAACAGTTCCCCCAAACCAGAAACTGGATCCACGTGAACACACCTAATAACCCAGGAGCAAAAGAAACCTGGCAGCCTGAACTCGGCTTTCATTGTCTTTTGACATGTCAGTTTTTTCGCATTCGACTTTCGACGACTCTCAAGATGAGGGAGAATCGAGTAAGTCGAAGGAGCCGGACATGCCTGCTTTTCAGTCCCACAACATGAACAACAAATGGGTGGGTAGGTCAATGAAAAGACACAACCAACAGGTTTTGTTTGTCATTAATCCATTTCTTTTTTGGGTCTTTGGGAGATCTCTTGGCGCCGCTTGGGCACGGCCGCGGGTCACGCACGTGCGTGCGCGCCGTTGTCGCGCGGTGTGCTGGTTGGGGCGGCCGAGGATGGGCTCACCTTGGAATGCTCTTTGGTTTGGCCACTTGGCGGCTTGAATTCGCCCGAAGTGTGTAGCTGCTACAGTACGTTGTTTCGGCAGGCATGGAGTTTGGATGGACTGGATGGAGACTGGAGGTCACTGCTCTCTTTGTGAGCTTGCAAAGTCAGTCAAGACGACGGAGCTGAAATCAGTTGGATGGGTACCAAGGAAGTCTATCGAAAAATGGTCATGGCCAGCATCGAGGACGGAGATGTCTGATGGTGGGGAGAGATGCTGACAGGCACTGGGCGTTCATGGACTGGTTCTAGTCATATTGGTTTCTGCATCTTCGTGTATGCACACCAGGTCCATGGGCTTCATTGAGATTTGTTCCTTTTGAATCCTTTGGAGTTTTAAAGACCAACATGTTTGCCATGTATTTGGACTCTGGACATGTTCCTCACATTTTATGATCATTGTGTAAATGAGATGTTCATCGCTTCAAGTACATCAAGTATATATGTATATTCATGAAGGAGGCATGAGGCATGAGGCCTTTCTCTACTACCAGGGTTGACATTCAAACAGAACATGTTGTTCCGTTTTGTCGTGCAAATTTGCCAGCAGCCAAGTGACTTAAGTGGCGGACCTGAACAGCAGAGAGCACTGCATAACATGCACAACTACCCAGAGGATGGAAGGTTTCCATTTGCTGAAGGATTGAGGTTTCTCAATCATGCAGGTCATTTTGGATGTTCCGATCGCATTGGACCCAGATTCTTGCACTGGAACATGGTCCAGATCGAGGCTTCAGGAGACCCCCTAAAATCCTCTGGAAGAAGGGAAATGGACCAGTCTACCCATGGGTTGGAGACCTCCCTATTCAAATACCAGATGCTTTCTTTTGCGCTGCACAGCTTTTGCTTCGTGTCCGGAAGCACCTAAGCACCAGATCTTTCAACCGGTCTTTCTTCGGTCGTTCGGACCGAGGCCTCGACGAATTCGACCGATCACATGGAGATGTTGGACGTGTTTTCTGACTCAAAGCAGATTGGAGATGTCACATGATGTAACACCATTCTGGCCGAGCGGGGTGATCTCATTCTGTTTGAGGAATCAACAGTATATATATATACATATATATATATACACCTTTACTGTGTACATGATTTAACTCCCCTCCTCCCTATACACACTACAGTCTTCACAGTGTAAGAGAGCTTCCGCGTTTTGCTCACGACACACGGTCGCCCTTTTTGGACCTCCCGTTTCCGACTGCTCCGGTCCTTCTGCTCCTGGGCCCCCCCACCGCGGTGGTCCACCCAAGCGCGGCGAGGACTACTTCGATTTCCCGGACACCTTCAGCACGCTGGCGGGGCTCCAAGTCGGGCGAGTCGGGTGCAGATGTTGGGCACAGGGGAAGGGAGGCACAGAGGAGTTTTTGGTGAGCGTCGTTATGTATAGCAGGCTTGGTGGTTGAAGGCCAAGCGATAAATCTAGAAGTCCTGTCCTCGCCGAGTCCTCGCAAGTGCTGTGAGGGTTTCAGGGGAGTGTAGGTGTTGGACATTAGGACAATCTTTTGATCAGCTGGAACTAACATGGAAGTGGATGGCATGGCATGGCCTCGAAAGGAAGAGCATTTTCCGAATACCAAACAGGGGGTGAACTCCACTCCACTTCCGGGAAAGCAGCCCGTTTTCATCGTCTTGGCAGCTTTGGGGGGATGCGGTCGAGTCAATGAAACAGTCTATAATCCCAATGGCTCCAACTACCTCCTGAGAAAGTGTTTGGGGTTCAGTGCCACGCGGGTCTAAGACACCTTCTGAGGATATGGTTGCAGCCCTAGCGAATAAGAATCATGATGAATCATGTAGACTCTTGATTAATAACCCCCCAATCCAAAATAATCCAAAGGGGGGGTTTATCAGCGAATAGTCTACATGACCTTTCCCATGATACTCTACTCGGTCTGCCTTAAGCAACATGTGGTCTGTCTTCCACTCGGTGCCTGCCTTCCGCAGGAAGTGATGCGGCTGTCAGACTCCATGGAACGGGGCTCCCAGCGATGTGGGGCGGGACCGGGACCAACATCGCAAGTCCTCGGGGGGTCAACACGAGAGCACCATCCAGAAGAGCTCAGATGTCACCAGAAGGCTCCAGGGTAGCACTTGCCCCACGTCGTCTTTTGCTGGCGACATGACCACCTCAGTAGCGTGTCGCTTGGGGAAGCGGCGATCCGAGCAAGGACGCGACGCACGTCCGACGGATCTGTCGTTGGCAGGTCGATGCCGGGGTGGAACGCCTGAGCCGTCCTTTACGTTCCCGGAAGTTGATCGGGCGATTTGCTCCTTCACATGTTAAAGCCGTTTTGGGGGACATATAGACTTGACAACTCTGCTGGGTGGTGGTTTCAGACATGCTTTCTTCAAGCTTTACTTGTATGATATATCTCATGGACAATTATACTTTTCAAGTGAGTTGAAACCACAGTCTGTGAAGGGCCATCAAAAACACTGGAGAGGATAACGCCGGCTCGCGTGGAGCCTCTGCCAGGCGGAGTTCTCGTCCTACCAGAGGATCTTCATCTCCTATGCGCACATCCTATTCATGTGGGGTGGCCTAGGGCTGGATGGTTTCCACACGGGGTGAGTGTGGAGAGTTTTGCATGTTTGTGTGCGCATAAAAGGTCGACGCCACCCCAATTTCGCGAACGTTGTTCTGTTCAGACCCCCTCCTCCCCTTCCCTGCTCATCGAAAATGGAAACGACTGAACAAATGGACCAGTGACCCTTTTCGTGGAGGTTCCCTGCGAAAGCCGGTGGGACTGGGGCAAACGTCTGCACGTTTATGCTGGGCAGCCAGGTGACGAACCGTGACACGATGCACCATGTCTCCCAGGATCGTCAAGTGGGCACGGCCAGCGCCGCTTTGCCCTGGACTGTCTTTCGGTATAGCTAGCTTTTGAAGATGAGGACTTTTGCGGTTGCTGGAACAATACGTAACTGGTGATGGCACTCATTGGCAAACAATCGCTTGTCATGATAATGGTTACTTACAATTAGAATATAATATAATGGAATATCGCCAACCTATGTAGCCCTCCCTCTCCTCCTACAGAGGGTATGGTAAACTAAACAGCCCTTAGAAATCTACTGTAAAGACCATCAGAGTATACCAGCCACTACGAAAAAACTGTCAAAAACAATAACCTGTTCAACCTCCTCAGAGGCCTCACAGCCTCACACTGCGACTCTACAGCCCCCCCCTCTCAGGGCCAGATGCTTCTTGTCACTGCAGTGGCAGCCACGCTTGGCGATTATCACTTCCACCTTGCAGGCCTTTTCGACTGCGCGTGCGGGGGCGCGCGGAAGGTATCTGGAGGTCAGGGATCGGTGATGGAAAAAAGCACAAGGTGACTTGGTGGCAAGAACTTCCGAACGGGTTTGAATCGGTTCGAAGATGTGCGCCGTCCTAGTTCTGCGGATTCGAGGTGAACATCATACTCGAGACTGAATTAATCAGTTGCTTTGAAGATGTTCCAAGCCATGCTATTTGCTGGGTTGAAGGTTGAAGTGGGCTGAACAATGAAGGCCAAGAGGGGACACGGGCATATCTTACTGCGTTTGTCCGTTGTTTGGACCTTGACGGAGCAGAGAGGCGCTTTCATGCTTGGTGTCACACGAACCTGTTTCCTGACCGGTGGGAAGTTCCCAGACTCTTTTTTAGGGCATGCTGCTTCCTTTCTGGTGTCCATATGACGCCCAACAGAAACCCAACATGTGAAGAATCCGGAGCAAGTCTTCGTCATTTCTTCCCCTTTTCGAGGAGAGCACTTTCCACAGGGGTGACAGCCCCAAGTGATTGGGGATGGACGATGGGATGATGTGGGTATATGGGGGTAAACTCAAGTAAACTCCACAACCAAAAAGCATAGAATCGGATGCAGGCTCAGCGCACTCTAGCAGATTTGGAAAAGGACTATGCTAAAACTATAACTATATATACCTATTACTGTAATTCCAACCTCTGGAGATCCTCATCGCCATCCAAACTCCTTGGGGTCCATCTCCAAAACTATCCCTACCGGTCCCAGCGTTCGCCCCTCAGTTGGCGCTTCAGGTCTCAACGGTGGACCTGCTGCACTTCTTGATTGCGCAGGGCTCAGCGACGGTCCAAGCGTGTTTCGTCCCTTCGGACGGACGATGAAAGTGCTGTGCTTGCTGCGGCTGTTGTGCAGTGTTGAAAAAGAGGATTCGACCACCCAGGTTCGACCCTTGCCAGGAAGAGGACAAAACCTATATATAAAGGTCAGGTGGTTTCGGGGTGGATCTCTGTATTCTAGGACTCAGCTCTTCATTAGGCTCTTGAAATGATACTCATGGTTCCAAGGGACACTCCCAATGCTTCAGTTGGAAGGAGCTGTCTCGCACTTTCTGGCAAGACTCAGCCACCATCCTCCTGCACCAGATCAGGTGGGGGATTGCTTAGTTTCTTCAGGTCCTCCCTGGGTAGCTGGAGAGGTAAACGAAGTCACAAGAAGGCTCGTCGTGCCGAACCGAAACATGATGAGAACGTCATTCTCTTTGGTGATCCTTGACGGTCAAATCGAAGAACCTCCCTTAAGAACATGACTTCTGCTGGTCCATGCATACTTGTTGAGGTGATCTGATTGCATGAGCTTTTTCTTGTCATTCACGTCTCATCTGCACTCATCTGGGTCGCCTCGATCTCCAGAAGGCCGTTGTTGTTCAGATCATGCAACCTCAAAGGCAGCTCCAAAACCGTAGGCAGCTCCAAAGAAGAAGACACCAAGTTGGACTCCTTAGTGGAAACCTGTAGAAGAACCCATCACTGGAATCCCAACCAATTGGCTGGGAGAGGAGTCTACCTACTACCCTCAGTAGCTACCTACTACCCTCAGTAGAAACCTATTCGGGACACCGCCGAGTTCGTGTGACCGGATGTGCCCGGGGATGCCACGGAAACCACGACCCAAAGGACTCCCACAGAGGAACCAACGCAAAAACCGGGGAGACATGGAGAGTCCGGGTCGCAAAGCTTTTTGGAGCCACGCACCAAGTCGTTCACTGTCTTCACCGTTTCAGTTGCTCAAGCCCCCCCCGCAGGCGTTCAACATGTCCCTTGTTCGCCGGCTCCACCGCCGGAACTTGGTGGTGCTGACCCCTCAAACCTCTGTGCCACCGGCCTGGTGGCAACGTGGATGGGCCAGAAAACGAGTTGACAGCGTGGCGGAGGCAGAGTTGTTGGCTCCTTTAGCAGCACTGTTGATGCCAAAGACACCCATTGAGAAACTTTTCCGGAGCTTTCCATCACCCGCAGGGTGGGGTGGACACTCTTTGGAGCCTGATTTGACGGCTTATGGAGTGCTGAAAGATCCGAATGCAGCATTGTTTGTGGAATACGATGGATACTGGCGGCATGCGGAGAGGGAAGGCAGAATTAGAGACCAGAGCAAAAACGAAGCGCTTTTGGCATATGGGCCTCCAGGTTCGTGCGTGCTTCGCATCACTCACACCCATAGCAGAGGGCTAAAGGATCAGCTTGTGGAAATCCAGGTGAGCACCTGGAAAACCCGTTGCAGGGCATCGCTAGAAGATGTTTTGACAGATGTGTTGAAACAGATATCAAGGGGTCTTGACAAGATTCTTTCTCTTCAAGTGGCAAAACGTTTGGAGCTTGAAGCCAGCCGTGGGTCAGTGAGAGTGTCAGGAGGGACGGACATATTTGTTCAAAAGGCAATAGCTTCGAGGGGTGGCAACACATCGGAGGAAATTTCAGACTATTTGGAAGCCGAAGGATTCAGTAAGAAAGAGCTTTACCTGATCGATGAGCATGCATCTTTGAGTAGGACCTCCATCGAAGGCACGCTACAACCCAAAGTGCAATGGCTGTTGGACTTGGGGCTCAACCAGGCTCAAGTTGCGAAGGCAATTGCAAC